TAGGCTTACACAGCCTGAAAGCAACAGTGAAAAGGACCACGAAGGATATTTGAAGAGGAACTGTATTTCCACATGTTGAGGAAATGCAAATGAAGAGCAGAGCTCACTTGCAGATAATATCCATCTTTCAGATATGAAACAATTTGTTTTCGAACTCAGAGAAGGACACACTTTGCTGTATAATAATACCACCTGTAGTACTGCCCATAGCAAACTATCAGCTAGGAATTCCTACACCTTAAAAATACAATCAGAATAATTTACATAGAGGAAAGCATGATACTTTTCATTCTCTGATTTTGAAAAACACAGGTGAAATGATTGCACACAAACAATTCAAAATAACTTCACAGAGTAGAGAGTGACATGTAGACAGCATTTCAGCAATAAGAAATGACGCATTTTTGTATGCTGGAGCCTGTAAAGAGGTAAATCATAACACATACATCACTGTAGAAACTTTACTACTGTGGTTATACTACCCATTATACTAATTTGTAATTGCCAGCAGAACCAGACCAGCTACAATCAATCTAACCAAGCGTAGCTTTTCTACCTGAATGTTTCCTCTTGGAGTTGTTCTAGTTGTGTCTGCAGCTGCAAGTGCCTACGACCTGCAGGGCTGTTGGGATCTTCAATAGAATCAGATTGATTTAAACGTTCCATCAAAATCTGGTTCTCGGCAAGCAAGCTGCTCTTCTCCTCCTGGAGGGCTGCAACCTGTTGTAATAAAAGCATAAACTGAAATAACTAAGCTATCCAGCTATAGAGAGCAATTTTCTTCATGTGCGTAATAAAGTATCAACACAAGCCACAGCTGGAAACACGCGGGCTTCAATAATCATATTTCATAAGAATATACTGTAACATTAACAGGTATTCAGTTGCGATGTGATAGAACCAACATATTGCAACATTAGGGGCAGATTTACCACACGGAAAACATAACTATTCTTAACTGTATTTCGCACAAGCATCTAAAGTCTTAGTGATCACAGAAAATAAATTCATTATAATAAAGTCTGCATACTTTCCCAACAAACAAATAGAACTAGCCCTCCACAATAAAGCTTTTAAAACTGATTTCCAAAAGAAACAATGCCTATCAATCACACAGAGTATCGAAGTCTGAATATTGAAGGGATGGCTGTAGCCTTCCTAGATTTTTTTTTAATCCAGTGGACAATTACAAGCAGACCTGAAACAGGAACACAGTCCCAAAGATGACTCAGTTTCCACCAATGCTGTGCAAAACAGGCAGTAATGCAAAGAACCCAAAGTGCTGCAAGTCAAACAACAGCTGAAGCATGGGTTCATATGTTATTCCACAGTACAGAATTAGCATGCAGGAGAAGGGGAAGAGAAGGAATGTGAACATCTCAACAGAAGGAAATGCTTCAATAAGAGCTTGAATCATCAAATACACCAAAATCAACCATGACACACAAATCAGCTCCATTAATTCTAACAGTTACTGAGCTGCTTGGCAGAAGTCTGAATTATACTCCAAAGTAGGGTTGCAATGGCAATGCGTTTCACGGCTCCACTTCAGACTCCTCGTGTCTTCTGGATGAGGTATTCTTGATTTACAGTAAGGCTTAGTCTAAATCCATACACAGCTGATAGACTACCGTAACTTCTGATTGGGATTTAACTCTTAACTGAAACTGTTAACAGCAGCATAACCTCTATTAGTTCTCTAGTGCAAGAGTTGAACCACACAGCTCAAGCCCTTCCTACCTGAATGAAAAAAAGTTTTGTTAGTATGAATCATCTTAATACTGGCAACATTGCATCAAGGTAAGAAAACAATGAAATTCACTCTGCTACCACAAATAAAGCAAAATAATTACTGTGCAATTTTCATCTCCTTTTAAAAAACTATGTTTCCACAGTATACTTCTTGTTTTCAGCTGCCTAAAAATTAACACATCTCTTTCCCACTTCAAAATTAATATGTACAATATAGCAAACCTACCTGCATATCTAACTCATGACATCTCTGGGCAATTTCTTCTTTTGTTGCTAGTGCTTCATTTAATTCTTCTGTAGTTTTCTTCAGCTACCATAAACAACAAACAATTATAGTTTCATCACTCTCTGTGAAGTGTCTAAAAATATTCTGAACTACATGACTGTAAAATTATTTTTACATTTAGGTAATATATTAAATTTTTTGAAAACTTAAGCTATTCCACTCTTATAAAGAAACAAAGAAGCAGATATGATTACTGTTTAGTTTGTGTGACAGTAAAAAGTAAACATACTTAAAAGTAATATTTGGTCTTACAAAAATACATTAGAATTATCACATCTATGCTATGAACTGAGTCAAAAAATCTTGAAGAACTTGGGTCTGAAGAACTCATCAACTCTATACACTGAAAAACTGTCAATACCACTTTTCTTTACGGATGCAGAGAGTGCATAATTTCAGTTTTCAATCTACTTATGAATTACAGAAAGGACTGGAAGGTGGAATACAGGGAATGGACAATCAGGGTAAAATCTCTCTAGTCACTGGAAGCTACTCTTAGCTCACATCAGGAATACAACATGGTGAGGGAGAAGTCTACCCTTCTGAAAAAGGGCACTGAATCTTGTAAGCAGTAAGAAACATTCAGATACTTCCCTTCAAAGGCTTTACGTTCAAAGACATGTATCTTGCAAGTTTGCACACAAATGCAGTTAACATAACAAAAACATAGCTACAAGAAAATTGGCCTGATAAAACAGGTGCATGCATATTATGCATATAGAGATATAGATATGTATTATTATATATGATGAATTTTAGATGGGCTTTCTCAAACAGCATCATTGTATCTTACTTTTTCATGTTTATTTCTCAAGGGCCTGTTGACATACAAAAATTAATTCCATCTGCCAGAATTTACATACTTTTGCAGAGAAAGCATGATGGAATTAAAGAAAAAAAAAGACGGACTTCTTAATAAAGCAAAATGACTGGCCACTGATGTGCTATGATTGCAGGAAAATAAACATCTAGTCTTAGATACCTGAACTTTTGGGAGCTTCAACCTGACTTCATTCAGAAGTTTTTAACTTCATTTTTATATATGACATATTCAGGAACAATTACAGAAAGAAATCTTCAGAATTTATAATATTTAAAACACTATAAAAGAAATCTTACATAATCTCTTTTACTTCTGAAAATGCATATTCTTTATCAATGATGAAACCTACAGTACACTGCTAAGCATTTCACTGAAGAGGCATTGGAATGATGGTAGCTATCAACATACCATGCAAGACCTGCCTTTAATTGTTCTCTGCCAGTGGTTTTCATTTTTTGATCACCTGGAAGTTCACAATAAATTTATTTCTTTATTTAACTAAAGCTGGGGACATATCTATCTCGGCCAATTGTGCAACACAAAGGTGATCAAATTCCTGCTCTGGAGTTGTCCATAATTTGCAAATTTAAAAAGAAAGTCTATAGAGAGTATTCCTGAAATGAGTATTACAATTCCTTGTATACTAACCTATTCTATTGCAGGAATGGCTGGTAGTCTAGAAAACATTGCTTTTAGCCACGACTTTAAAAAAACAAAACAAACAAAGAAACCCCACCAAAACAAAAAAAAAGCAAGCCCTCTAAATCGACTGATGTGCTTACTAAAAGATAAAAAGCTGATAAGAAAGTAAGTTTTCTTTCAGTAGCCCACTAATCAGCAACACAGGTAGTTAAAAGTTAAATCAAATTGTAACAGAAGTTGTAGCCCAAAGACCTCCTCCCACCCACCTCCAGCAAACATGCTGAGGTAAAGTTATTACTGAAAGTTCTAAGACACAAAAAGGAACAGTCTTCCAAATAAGAAATATGTTGTAACTAACTGAAAAGGCAGCATTATCTGTCATCCTGTCCAAACACAAAATGGTTTACAAATTCTCCAATGACACAATTCATGGAAGTTAGTTACAATCAAAAAGGCCCTATCCTAACCAAAATCAAGACAAGATTTCTTTCCTAAGTCCTCCTGTCCAGCCTGCTTACTCTCTCCAGAGACAGGGCTTCCTTTATTCCCTCCAGAAATCAGTGCTTTTGCATTACATTTTGTTGCCAAAGTTCCTCGGATACACAGCACAGAGCTTTCATTTCTTCTCCATCCTTTCTGTTTATACCACTGTGTACAAGTGAAAATCTCTTTGACGTTTACATCATTCTAATATTTACACACTTAGGTTTCTCTCCATTTCCCTGTCTCCTTAATTGGGATTTAGCCGCCTACAACATGCTTAAACTCATGTCTGTCCTCAACAGTCCTCCTCAGACCTTGACATTTGTTGCTAACTGGTGAATTCCTTCCATTTTGTCTACGTCTTTACAATGACAAACTACTCTCAAGAACCATTCCATGAAGCCCAGACTCTCTGTAACAGTGATTAGAAAGTTCCTATCCTCAGAGCTGTCCCCTGAAAAATGAAGTCACATGTCTTTTTCATTACCATATATAGAGGCATTACAAACTTGTATTTAATTTAGGGCCATGTTTTCTAAGCTGACTATCACTTCGTCATCCAAAACATGAATTTTCAATCCCTCTTTGCTCTGTGATGTTTATACACATTTCCATTACTCCATTTCACTAGCTACTGTTCACTAGCTACTAGCTTTTCCAGATGACTAATAGGAATATCCATATTAACCAAATACTGAACTTTTCTCCACATTCTATATCCCACAACACTAGTCACAGACACACTTCAGACACTAAGTTCCATCCGTTAAGCCAGTACTTTCTGACTGCCCAGCCCCAGGCTGCATGCAGCCTGGATGGGTGCACAACAATACGTCCCTGACAGTCACCACCCCTTTCTGGCCCTAGCACAACTTCCTCTTCAGAAACCCAGCTCAGTGGGCCTGCCCGAGACTTACTGTAGGAGGAATACAGGAGGCTGCACAACCCACTAGAGGCCACTGTGGTGTTGCTGCCTTCTGTGGATTACCGTAAAGGAAGCAGGCCCCAGGTCAATAATATAATCCCTTCATTCTTCAATGGGTTTTGCCATCTCTCCCAAACCTTCCTACCCTTGAGAACCCCTAGCAGAAATGTCCAGAAAAGAGGACATTAGCTGAAGAAGGATTAGGCGGTGGAGATACATGGTGTGGATGTAGCGTGAATGTTACACAGAATTTGTGAACTTAACCCCACGGGGTGCATCAGGAATGTCATGGGAAGTTTGCATGAGGCACTGAGGGCAAGAGCCACAGCCATGTGCAGATGACTGACTCAATGTGACAAGAAGCATCTTGCAATATTATGGCCTGTCATATGGTGGGGATGCTACAGAAGAAATCTAGAGGATGGTGCTACGTCCAGTAGCACAACGAGACAAGGAACAGGAATGAGACTGCCAAATTACTCACAAGTAATACAGGAATCCAACTTCTGATCATCAGTTAACAATAAACTAAAGTTAAGAAGTGGGGTGAAAAGGGAGAGTTATCAGGGTGAAGGATTGTCTCCATCTTTTCCCTAC